TCTTGGCTGGCAGTTAATTTGCATATCGCCCTGATTAGCCAATGGGAAGGGTAGCGGTCGTACGCTAATTACCATGTTTCTCTTTTATTAGATAGGATACTTAAATGCCATTTAACAAAGAAAAATGAACCAAAAAAATGAGTTCGCATGTCACCTCTGACACGTGTGTCATAGGTTCGCCATCACTGATATAGACAGTCAGGGAGTGCCGGGGAGTCTCCCCCATTGGCCAAGATGGTGCAGGGGGAGGGGCTTATGCTGAGCATGCCAAAACCTGGAAAGATGAATGATCAGGTCCTGAGCATGCCAAAGCTAGAAAGATGGATAGAAAAAAAGCCTTCCCCTACCTATTACTATAAGAATGATGGGCTTGAGCAGGAAGGGGGATGGTCTTTGAGATGGGAGTCCACCATTCTCCCAGGTCAGGGTGCCTGAATAAACCTCTTTCCTTCTGCACCAGCACCTGTCTCCTGAATTTGGCTTTCGTTAAGGCAAGCAGCTGAACCTGTTTTTCAGCTACAGCTTCAGCTTCTTGGAAGACATTTTTCCCAAAGCCTCCTGGTAGGGGCGGTATACTCTACTTTTACAGCATCATCCTTCACCCTCATCTGGGGACTGACTTGGCCTCATTATTTTGTTGTTGCTATTCCCCTCATACTCTCTCCCCGCCTTTTTTATCCTCACCTGAGGACATATTTTTATTGATTTTTTTTTTTTTAGAGGGAAAGGAAGGGAGAGGGAGAGAGGGAGAAACATAGATGTGAGAGAGGAACATTGATTGATTGCCTCCTGTACACACCCCAAATGATAACTGAACCCACAACCTAGGTAGTCCCCTGACTGGGAATCAAACCCACAACCTTTCCTCTTGGTGTACAGAATGATGCTCCCACCAACTGGGCCACCCAGCCAGGGTGATACTTTTGACAGAGCAAATCCTCCAGTATCTTCTGGAGAAAGCGTACATAAGAGATTACATTACATGTCTGAAAATGTCTTTATTCTACTCTTATACTTTTTTTTTAAAAATGTATTTTATTGATTTTTCACAGAGCGGAAGGGAGAGGGATAGAGAGCTAGAAACATCAATGAGAGAGGAACATCAATCAGCTGCCTCCTGCACACCCCCCACCGGGGATGTGCCCGCAACCAAGGCACATGCCCTTGGCCGGAATCGAACCTGGGACCTTTCAGTCCACAGGCCGACGCTCTACCCACCGAGCCAAACCGGTTAGGGCTCTACTCTTATACTTGATTAAGAGTTTGAACTTAACATTGTAGACTAAAGAGCATTTCCCCCTGAACTTAGAAGGCATCCTCTTCCAACTTCCAATGTTACTGCTGAAGTCATTCTGATTCTCCATCTTTTGTATACGACTGGTTCTTACCCTCTGGAAGCTTCCAGGATATTTTCCTTGTTCTTAACGTTCTGAAGTTTTGTGAGGATGAATCTTGGTATAGGTCCACTATCCATTGGCTATGCACTTGATGGGCCCTCTTATTCTGGGAACACACATCCTTTTTTCCAATAAATGTTTTTTAATTTTTAGATTCTCTCCCCCACTCTAGTTCTCTGATCTTTCTCAAACTTAAAAATTAGGTTCTTGTTCCTAGACTTTCTTTTGCCTGGCCAGTGTGGCTCAGTTGGTTGGAGCATTTGCCCGTGCACCAGAGGGTGGCAGGTTCAATTCCTGGTCAAGAGGCAGCTGATTGAGGTTTCTGTCTCGCATCCATGTTCCTCACTCTCTCCCTGGAAATCAATGGAAATGTGTCCGTGGTGAGGATTAGAAAGAAAAAAAAAGTTACTTTCTTTTATTTTAACTGAGATTATTATACTTCTTTTTCCCCAATAGATACCATTTAACAGTAAGAGCTCTAATTGTTCGAAATTGATTTAGCTCATAATGAGAAAAACTAAAATTGTGCATAGTCAGAAACATAAGTGCTGCATGGAGAAAGAAAAGGGCTCATCAAAGGGAAAAACAAACAGCCCCAAACAGACTGGGTCCTTTTGGTGACCTTAAATACAGACAAGTATGTCAAGATAGAGACACCAAATCTTTTGGGAACCCTAATTATCCTATATAATAAAAGCTTCACCCCTCCCCCCCGCACGATTTTCATGCACTGGGTCTCTAGTATTACAGTAAAAGTGCTTGTTTACTTTTGCACAGTGGTAGGACTGTTCATTTTAACACGTCTGCTAACAGGAGACATCTGAATTTGAGACCAGATGGGAAGAAACCACTTTATTTGTAATATACAAAAATGGAACTTAATACATATGCGAAAACAAATATATACTGCAAGCCACTTCTCTGGGTTCTACCAGTGTCCACCTTGTCTAGGTTACATGGTTACCCCAGAGACTAGAAACACGAATAGCACGCACAAATCCACGCAGAGAATATGCATATTTTGCCCGCCCCCAAGTTGCATACACTTGTGTAAACATTTGCTGACTGGTAAAACATGTCCAGCACTGCAAACAAATGTGCAGGGGTGGGGGTGGCAAGAAATGAAGTCACTGAAACAGCAAAAAGGTAGTTTACCTGGCTGGGCCATCAAGGTGGCATTCAATAAATTCCCACAATGCCTCGAATGAGGGGGAGGGAAGAGGAATATTCAGACGCAATGGTGTTTGTTTTTCCCCTTCTTACATTAATAAAGCCTTTATATTTTTTTTATTGATTGATTTTACAGAGATAGGGAGAAAGAAAGGGAGAGAAACATCAATTTGTTATCTCACTTATTTATACATTCATTGGTTAATTCTTGTATGTGCCCTGACTGGGAATTGAACCTGCAACCTTGGTGTATCGGGAGATGCTCTAACCAAGAGAACTACCCGACCAGGGCCAAGCCCCTCCCCACTTTTTCCCACCTGTAGTAAAACTGAAAAGGATATTACAGACCAGTTTAAGTTTAAATTTTCTTTTCCAAGTCCTCTGAATAACAGCAGCTCTCAAAACCCTACTCCAGCTTAGCGGCTAACCAGCAGTGTCACTGTGAAGATTCTACCTTTCAGAACTTCAGTGATGACATCCCCAACTCTGCTTATCTAATCTCCCAGACCTTCATCTGTTTCTTCATTGAAGATAGTCTGATATTTTCCAGTGGGGCTGGACTGTCCTGGGTATTTGTAGTGGTGGTGGCGGGGAGAGGGGATAGGGGACTGTTGCTTGCATGCTCAGCATTTGTGGAAAAAGGAGATGCCCTAGCCAGCTTTAGAAGGCACAAAACTAGGTTTGTTGTTGTTGTGTGTGTGTGTTCTTAGTTATAGTCAGGTCTTTATTTAAGAATCTCATCTGCCAACTGAGCATTTCCCACCAACACGGGGAGCAGAAACCTTCACAGGCTTCAACCCTTTGCTCAGGCGCAGCCTTTGTGGGAGCCCTCGCAGCAGCCAGTGCTGTCTTCTTAGGCGCGTGCTTAGCCTTTTTTGCTTCCTTGGCAGCCCTGATAGCTTGTTCTCGTTGAGCTTTCCTAACTTCAGGTTTCTGGTTCCTCTTGGCCATTATATCAGCAAGAGATGCACCAGTGATGGCCCTCTGGAATCTGACTGCACGGCCGGTCTTTTCTTTTGAATTTCTTCTGACCTGACTGTCCATTTTGAATTTCTTCCGACTGTCCTTTCTTCCATAGAGGACAGTCCAGTTTATCTGCCCAGGATTCCTCTTGGAAAGGAATGCCAACTCGCATTTTGCATTAAGAAATGGGAAAACCTTCCCGTCGGTCCTGGCGTAGCACCGCCCGTGTCCAGGGTAGATCTGTAACTGAAACCGCAGAGCTCGACCTTCATGGCTGCGGCCGCCGGAGCGCAGGAAAGATGGTGAAGAGCACAAAACTAGGTTTTGAAGATGAAGTAAAGTCTTCTTCTGGCTCAGGAGGATCTCAACATCCTACTGATCATTTCACTCTCAATGGTCCTTAGAGAAGCATTTGCTTAACTCTACATCCAGGCCGTCGCGACCTCCGGGAGGAGAGGGCACCACCTTCGACATTAAGGCCATGTGGGCGGCGGGCGGAGATGCAGGGGTGGTGGTTCGAGCCAATCCAAACACTGCATCATTCACTGCATGGAAGACCAGAGCTGCGAAGAGTGAGTGCAGTGACCGGCTCTCCTTTGTTCACAATTACTGAGTGCCTACTCTGTGCCAAGGCACGGTGTGTTTGAGCCCTGGAGGTCAGAAAACTGCGAGAGCTCATGCCCAGAGCTTAACACAGTAGGTCTCAATCAAGGGTTAGAGCAGAGGTGGGAAAACTACAGCCCAGGTGAGCCACCCGCTTTCAAAATAAAGTTTTATTGGAACACCAGCCACGCCCACTCACTCAAGAATTGTCTATGGCTGCTTCTGCTCTACCATAGCAGGGCTGAGCCCTGCAGAGCATATGGCCTAAAATATTTACTATCTGGCCCTTTATAAACGTTTGTGGATCCCAGTGTTAAAGGAAAGCACTAATGCATACCTAAGAACTGAGAGAGGTGATCAGGGAACAAATGGTTTGCAAATGAAGTCTAGGAGAGGGTGGGGGGCTGGCTGAATTAACAACAACAAAGGAGCATGGATTACAATGAGGCTTGATTACTCTGAAGAGAGAAGTCACAGTGAAATTGCTTGGGACTTACATTTAACATATGCAGTTTAACTGCATGCAACTGGTTTAAAACAAAAAACTACTACTTGATCTGCTGCAAGTGGCAAAAGAGCAATCAGCCCCAGCTTCTAAAGGGAACTGGCCGTGACAAGCCCACATGCAAACGAGGGCTAGCCACGTAGAGGTCCGCCCAAGGACTGCCCCGGTGGTCTTGGCTCTGCTTGGCTTTTCCTCCCGGGCACACTCTGGCTTTTGAAACCAGCTGCACAGGCTCACAGCTCCACAGCACGGCCTCTTTCAATGAGAAGGTCAGAATGGTTTGTATGTCACGCTCTGTGTTTTAAACAAATAAAGAGAAGCTCCTTAATCACTTGGAGTTCATCAAATCAGTCTGTTTTCTTTGCTATTTGAAATACAAACTGAAATCATACTGATATTAATTGAATTCTTTTTTTTATTTCTTAATCCTCACCCGAGGAAATTTTTAATTGGTTTTTTGGAGTGGAAGCGGGGGAAACAGACAGAGAGGGAAACATCGATGTGAGAGAAACACATCGATTGGGTGCCTCCCGAAAATGCCCCGACCTGGCCGAGGATCAAGCCTACAACCAGGGTATGTGCCCTTGACCAGAGCCAAACCCGGGACGCTTCAGTCTGAGGGCTGATGGTCTATCCACTGAGCCAAACCAGCGAGGGCTGAACTCTTTCTTTTTTTCTGCTTCCCAATAACCCTCAAAAACAATGGCAAGTGCTCATGCCAAGTGGCACAGCCTTCGCCATCCTCTGCAGGCTTTCCCAGGTCAACGCTGCTCGTCCAGCAGCTTCCCACTCAGGCTGGGGGAGTGACCTACGGCTCAGGCGGAAATCTTTCTGAAGAAAAAGCTCATTATGTACAATTAGCCATAGCCTGGCCGTGTGGGAACTGGTCAGTGAGTGTTTGTAGTTAGTTCTTGCCGCCTCGCTCTCCCACGTGGCAGATAAACCTGAAGTGCTGCTGCTGCAAGCACCTGCTGTGAGTGACCGGAAAGCAGGCTCACTTCAGGCAGAAGATGCCAAGGACAGGGCTGGACATCAGCTGCGAGAGAACACGAGGGGATCCTGTGCCAGGGCGGCCACGGTCCTTCCCTGTGGGAGCCTTAGGCGCACCCCCTCCCACACGCGCTGACGAGCACTGGGAGGCAGGAAAGCGTGTGTACAAGCCAGACCTGTTTGGCAAGCCCCCTGTAGAAACCATGCTTCAAAATGGAATTCGGCTGTATTCCAGGAAATCAGTTGCATTTCAGGAAGGAAATTAAACTAAAAGGTAGAAAACAGTCCGTGTGCGGGCCCTCCCCTCTGCCATGGCAGAAGAGGGCCCGGGCGTTGTACCATCCACTTGCATGGAGCAACGCCATGCATGCTTCCAAGTGCTGCGAAGAGAGGCTGTGCCCTACGCTGGGACCGGACGCCCCCACGGAGAGTTCACGGAGCGTTCACGGGCAGCGACACATTCCTCATCCGGCTCAGGACACAGGCTCTGTGGGCCTGAGAGTGCAGTCCAGCCTGAAAATGCTGGGGAGCGAAGTCCTAAGATTTTCCAAAAGCACTTTCTAGCATCTTGTGACAAAACAAAAGAACCTCAAATCCATATGCCGGTTCATTAGGCTGCTTTTTCAATCCCCACGCCCCCAAAACACCACCTGGGGGACAGCTATGTGTCTTTGCTGATAGCAAAGACGTTTTTATGAGTCAAAGAATGATGTACAAAAGTTGATGTAAACACACTAAAAATACCCCAAATAGCCCCTGGATGAGTCGGTGGGTCTTTTCCCCTCTAGCCCTTGTGTGGGGACCGGCCCAGGTGATCTTCCTGGCGCGTTACTCCTCCATCTGGGCCCAGGCCTCCTCCGCCTTCTGGTAGTACTGGTTGGCCAGCCGGCCCTTCAGGGCTTCCATCGCTGCCTCGGCTGCCTGCGTGTACAAGTCGCCTGAAAGACAGCAAAGTGGGCCACACACAGCTGAGCCACCTGGTGTTTTTGCCAGCCCAGTATCCCCTCCCCTCCCTGGGAACAGCTCCCCAAATACTACTGACTCCCTCTCCCTCCGCAGGACCCGGGTGGGGCTCTGGGCGGTCAAGCGATCAGAGTCTGGCCAAACAAAGTACCCTCCTCATTCCCCACCAGGCCGCAGCGATTGGCCCAGACTGAGGCACAGCCAATCAGAGGAAGCCATCTCAATGACTGGCATGAGGGCTGGGGGGTGCTTCCATCTGAGCCAATGAGAAGCAGGCTGAGGCCTATGCTGGGCCACTTGGAGAAGGTATGCAAGGGGAAGAAACAAAGATTAGAAACGGCCCCATGTCAGTTCTGGACAGCTTTGGCCACCAAGTGAATTTGTGCCACATGAACAAAAACGGTTTTTTCAGAGCTTCTGAGATTTAGAAATTCCAAATAAGGAATTAAAGGATTGCTTGATTTTTTATACACCCTTAACATTTTTTTAAAAACTTGGCCTCTACCCCTATACCTGTGAAATAAGAGAAATAAGGAGTTCAGTACGTTTATTATGTAACAGAAAAAATATCCAATGTGTGCGTCAACTGCTGAACGGATACACAGAATATAGTACATCTCTCTGTACAATGGAACATTATGAGGCAATAAGAAGGAATGGAGTGCTAATGCATGCTACAACATGGATGAACCTCGAAAGTATTATGCTCCGTGAGAGAAGCCAGACACAAGAGCCACATATTGTATGATTCTCTCTTTATGAACTGTCCAGAGTAGGTAAATCCACACAAAAGGAAGGCTAGTGTTTGCAGGAATGAAGCGGGGCAGGAGGCCACTGCTCCCGGGGACTGGCTCTCTCTGCGGCGTGTGGAAGCATTCTGGACTGAGATGGTCGCGATGGTTGCTCAACATCGTGCAGGTACTAAACACCACTGAACTTGTACACTTTAAAATGGTGAATTTTAGGTGATGAAAACGTCAGTTCAATTGATTTTTTAATAATAATAAAAAAAACCAACACCCTAAAACCCCAGCCCCTGATACATAACCATTAAAATGAAAACGCTCATCTGCACACCAGCTCCGTGAAGCCCCCCTAAGCCTGCGCCTGTGGGTCCAGCCTGGCAGAATGCGGGCCTGTGCATCTGAAAGAGCCGCTCGCAGCCTGTGTCTTGCCGGTGGGACAGGAATCATGTCCCTCCTGCCCGGCCCGCCCGCCTCAGGGGCAGGTCTCCCGACCTACCTGACCTCTGCGGGTCTTTCTGCAGCCGGAAGCCGCCCACAGACAGCATCTCGGCCTCCCTGGCCAGCAGCGTGTACCGGGGTTCGTCTTGCACCCCGTCGTACTCACCGCCCTCGTCACAGTCTGTTTTCTCCAGGGCAGTGCTGTACCAGTGCAGGGCCTCCGGCCAGTCTCGGGACCTTGCAGGGGATAAAGAGGAAAAGAGGGAGGTTACCATGGCAGCCGGCAGGAAGGAGAAGGCCCAGCGGCGGGAGGACCAAGTCCGGGATCCCAGGGGGCCACCACCTGTGAATCCCGACTCACAGCCCCAGAGGCCACCGCATCGCAGGGGCACCGTCCACACCTCAGGCTACACATCTATGAGAGCGCCGTCTCTCACTGTCCCTAACGGGGCTGGTGCATCCCACGGCTCTCCAGCAGTGGTGTGGGGCGTTCTCCAGTGTGAACACGGTAGCACCCTGTGGGCCTGCATTAGCAGTGGCTGGTACCATCAGTCTGTCCTATGACTGGGTAAGAGAGGAGCCGAATGGGTCCCCTTTGCCAAGGCCTCAAGGTCACGTGAGAGAATGGTCACCTTGTGGCCCATCTCACGCTGGGCCTGTGCAGCTGGCACCGGGCAGGCTTCTGGGGAGGAGCCGGTTCCCTCTCTGCTCGGCCCCTCTGGCCCCAGCTCTTTCTTCTGCTGCAGCACGTGAATGGCCAAACCACACAGGTTCTAAGCAAATCTAAACACACAAGACCGAGCAGGCAGGGTAGCAGCTTTCCCTTTGGGCGCACTAACTGTACCCGGGCGCGTGAGCATTCATAGCATGCCGGCAAAGGGCAGAGAGACGCTGGAAGAAGGCCTGTGGGTCTCACGAGCGTTCCCGGAAAGCAGCTACCGGACTTGCTGTCCTCCCCGCCGGGTGCTCCCTGGCCTGGCTCAGCCTGGTGTTAGCTCCTGCTAGCCTCCCCATGCCAGGCTCTCTGTTCCATCTGCTCCTTGCCGTTGCCCCTGCTGCCCTGTCAGCTGGGATGCCCACACTGGCTCCTCAGCTCTATGCCTCGTCTTCAGAGACACTGTCTCCAGACACCGTTTCCTACAGTGGCCTCCGTCTGTTTACTCAATGCTGAGGACAGTTTCCCCGAAGACGCCGAAGGCCCAGGAAGGCAGGGCCCGCTGGTGGGTAAGAACGCTGGCCCGGACCGCCTTCAGGAGCCAGCCCGACTCCACTTTATTTTACAGAAAAGGGGAATCTCTGACCATTATTGGTGACACACCCACCAAACTGAGGTTTTGACATTTGTCTGGAAGCCACTAAACCATATTGCACCCCTTTAGCCCCCCTGGTCCTGACCCTCCCTGGTCTTGACGGGCAAAGCAGATCTGCCCTGAAATTTGAATGAGGAAGAAAGGAAGGGCCTAATATTTCCCGCCCCATCCACCCCACGACGCCACGCCCAGGGGTAGGTGCCCACCCTGCGTTGGAGTTTCCAATGACGTTTCCTCCCCTATTTGGGGGTAACTTCTGAGAAGGTGGAAATTTGGGCCTCCATGGGGCCTGCCTTACCCGAGTGGCCCTTAATTAACGCTCCCTGAATGGAAGAGGCTGGAGCAGCTTGGAATGAGGAAGAAGAATAAAAAAAATGACTATAGTAAAAGCTATATAAAAAACTTTGAAAGATTAAACTACATAAATATCAAAAATCAATGTAACTTCCACCCCCATAAACAGTGGTCACCGAGTGACCCTGTCCCCCCACATCGGTAGTAGTTATCTCTGAAAAAAATTTTAAGCCAGCTCATATGCCAAAGAGTTACTAGCATTAACATCTGAAAAATTCTTACAAATCAACAACAGAAACTATCGTGTCAAAGAAAAAGGCAGTCATAAGACAACACAGGGTTTTGTCGGTGCCCAGCCCCGGCACCCGCCAGGCTGGGCTTCCCCGGCACACTCGGTGGGCACCAGGCTCACGGCGTCTGATCCGCACAGTCATGCGTGTCATTCTGTTCATCTCCCGTCCGTGACAGTGTAGTCCTGTGGCAGGCCACTGTAGGAGGGGCCAGAAGACCTGGGCTCCGCTCTGCCACCTGCTCCCATGTGACCATGGCAAGTCCCTTCGCTCTCGGAACTAGTTAACTCATTCATAAAATGGGGCCAAACATGCCCGCCCGGCCTGTGTGTGCCAACGAGATGTGTTGGCCCATTCATTCGAACAACCACTGAGCCAGGCCCTGCGTGGAACATGGGGCTGCAGACAGCAAACACCGGTTCCTGTTCTCAGTGAGATAACACCACCAGGGAAAGAGCGGTCCGAACACCAGGGAGCAAAGAGCAGGTACTTGTCTGCACGATATGTAGGCGGCCGCGTGTCCAGATGGTTCAGGCCCTGAGAGCTTGACATGATAGAGCCACGGCCCTGACTTTCCTTCTCACCCAGTGAGAGGGGCAGGAGACCTTGACCTGGAGAAGAGGAGCTGCCAGGCTGCGCCCCCTGCGGGTGTAGAGGATGACTGTGCTCACCTGCTCCCTCCCGGAGCCGCGGGTTAGAACTGCCTCTTCCCACTTTCATTAACGCAGCGGGCAGCCTAGCCGGAACCCCTGGAGGACCACAGGGCATCAGCAATGGGTCCCTTTACAACAAGCATGTCAAACTCGTGGCCTGCGGGCTGCATGCGGCCCACAACCAATATTTTTGCGGCCCAGCCAATATAAGGTAAGTAAAAAACGTTTTAATAAAAATTTCGTAACTTAATTTTTACAATATCCTGTTCTATATAATTATTAATAACGAACTACAACGTTCGCTAATGGCTGATTACTATCATCGTCTTGCATTCATTTCCCTTACGCGCAGGCACACCATTTCTCCTCACTAACACCAGCAGCGAATATTTTAGGAGCCGATGGCCACGTCATTAGTCTTGGACTGACTTGTTTGGTGTGCGCAACAGGAAACATTTTGCTTTCAGAGAATAAGAAAAATAGGTCTATTTGCGTTACACTTATTTGTGCAGTAATTCAGTGTCTGGTAAGTTAATGTTCAAGAAAAAATATTCATTTTTATTAAAATGTTCTATTATTTTATGTTAACGATGACTCATTTATTTCAGCCCTTTGTATTCAGCATGTCTCTACTGAAATAAACCTACATTTCTATGAAAATTGAAGCTTTTGTGTTTTTGCGGCCACATACACTTCAACCTTGTTTATTTGGCCCGTGTGAGCCTTGGAGTTTGGCATGCTTGCTGTATGAGTTCAATTCCCCCACTGTCCTCTGCTCAGCCTGGACTTCTGGGACGACTCACTGGTCAAGCCACGGAGATGAGATGGAGCCGGGCCACCGCCCCTCCTCCCCCTGCACAGCCCAGCCCTGAGCGGCAGCTAAGGAAGAGCTAGCACCTGCAGTCCTGCCTTCAGGAGGCTCAGCCACCCTGGGAAACCCGCTCCAGGCCTGAGCTACCCTGGGCTTGCTTCCTGCCCCCTCCTCTCAGAAGGGAAACATAAAAGTAGGCAGAGAAATTCTAATCACCCAGATCCTACCACCCAGGGACAACCACGCGGCCGATGCTGCACGTCCTTTCAGACTCTTTCTCAGGAGAGCCTCTACCTCTACCGGCTCAGCTGCCGCTAAGCTGGGCTCATGCTTCTGCGCCAGGCTCGGGGAGAGTTCCACCTCCTCTAACCCTCACACAACAACCCTAGGATGCAGGTTCCACAGCCGTTCCGTTTACACACTGAAGGGCCTGAGGCCACGGACTGGAACGCAGGGGGGAGCCGAGCCCGAAACCCAGGTCTGTGCTGGTCCCGGAGGGGAAGCTCCCACCGGGAGCCCGTTCCCACCAGCCCCCCTGAGTGGCGGCCACAGTACCTGTCTGGGCTGAGGTTCTGGCCAGTGTCAAAAGCTCGTGCCACCAAGATCATGGACTGTCTGTCACCAGCGCCAGCCGCCTTCAGTAAGTAATCAAATCCTTTGGTTTTATTTTCTTCCGTCTCCTGTCAATACCAACCAGAGGGGAGAGAAGAGAGATGAGGCCTGCACTGGAGGGGCTGCCAGGGCCACCGACCAGCCTTCTCCCACTGACTGTTGTGAGAGCCGGTGGCTGGGGCTGCTGTAGAATCGCCCACCGTGAGAAAGAACGGGCGGGCACCTGGTGCCATGCTCCTTGGGTGCCCACCAGGAGAGAATAGCAGCTCAGCCTTCTCCTGCCCCCTGTCGTCTATCTGCTCCGAGGCAGCCGAAGAGCCACTCACGTCCTGCCTCCGCAGGGCAGGGCTCTCTGCTCCCACGCTTTAAACATTTCAGCAGCTTTACTGAGATATAACTCACACACCACATAATCCACCCAATGAAAGCACACAAATCAACAGTCTCAGCATATTCACACAGTGTGCAACATCACCGTAACCATTTCAGACAACCGAAACACCATGCCCTGAACTGTCACCTCCCTACCCAGCCCTGGGCAACAACTGTTTCTCTTTTATTGATTTCAGAGAGGAAGGGAGAGGGAGAGAAAGATAGAAACATCAACGATGAGAGAGAATCATTGATTGGCTGCCTCCTGCAGGTCCCTTATCAGGATCAAGCCTGCAACCCAGACATGTGCCTAACTTGGAATCAAACTGTGACCACCTAGTTCATACGTTAACACTCAACCACTGAGCCACACCGGCCAGGCTCATCTATCATCTGTTTCTAGAGATTTCACTATTCTGGACATTTAATATAAATGTAATCCTATAATATGTGGCTGCTCCTTCCACTTGGCATACAGCATTCAGGGTTCATCTATGTTGTAGCAGGTATTAATGCTTCATTCTTCTTATGGCCAAATAACATCCCATTGTGTAGATATATCACATTTTGTTAATTCAGACCTGGCCAGTGTGTTCAGTGGTTAGAGTGTTGGCCTGTCCACCCAAGGGTCACGGGTTCAATTCCAGGTCAAGGGTTCTTTCCCCGCCCCTAGTCAGAGCGCATGCAGGAAGCAACCAGTTAATGTGTTTCTCTCACATTGATGTTTCTCTCTCTTTCTCTCCCCCTCCCTCCCTCCCATCCACTCTCTGAAAAGCAATGGAAAAAGTATTTCCAGGTGGGGATTAACAACAACAAAAAGGTATCGCTTCCTAGTATTTCACTATGTGCTGCCTCTTACCTATGGTCTGGAACCTGGGATTGTGCTGTGGGGCTGCCCTGTGCCATGCAGGGTATTCAGCAGCATCCTTGGTCTCCACCCACTAGTGCCAGTTGCATCCCCAGAGTCGCGACAAACAAAAATGTCTCCAGACATAGCCCAGTGTCCCCTGGAAAGAGGGAGGGCAGAACGGCTGGCTGAGAACCACTGGTTTTGGAAACTGTGGTGAACGCACCGTAAAACCGTGCCTTCTGCACATTTCCTCCCAATGCCGTGTTCAGCGACGTCATACTTATCATGACATTGCCACATTTACACCACAGCAAGCGGAAATCGCTACAAGTGAAGGTTTGAGTAACTGTCTTTTTGACTGTCTTGGTTGAAAAAGAGATGAAAAAATATTCATGATGCAGATTAACTTAAAAGCGTTGGTGCCTGTCATTGTATTGTGCTGGCACAGGAAACTGAAGAAACATTCTCCAGTGTTATCAGCAATGCAGCTGCTCGTATCAGCGGCAAATAAACGAACTTCCGGTTCTGACAGAGATCTTCCTTATTTCACCTTCATCTTACACACTAAAGTACATGAGAGTTTCAACCAATATTTATAATGGCCAATATTTATGTCAGAATGTCACAGCCCCATCAGTTGCAACCATAAGTGGGTAGCAGATATAACGTTCCACAACAAGTAGCGAAAGCATCCTGTGAGAATGCCCTGACTATATCGAATTTACAATAGTCTTTTTAAAAAATATATATATTTTTTATTGACTTCAGAGAGGAAGGGAGAGGGGGGGAGAGAGAGATAGAAATATCAATGATGAGAGAGAATCAATCGACTGCCTCCTGCATGCGCCCTACTGGCGACTGAGCCTGCAACTGGGGCATGTGCCCTTGGCCGGAATTGAAACCAGAACGCTTCAGTCCACAGGCCGATGCTCTACCCACTGAGCCAAACCAACTAGGGTGCTCCACATTCTTTTATTCATTTATTGAATTTATTGAGATGACATTGGTTAACAAAATTATATAGGTTTCACGTGTACAATTCTATAGTAGATCATTTGTAGATTGCATTGTGTTCATCACCCCAAGTGTTCCACATTCTTTATGTCAGTAACGTTTATAATAAACTTATATGCAGATGGTGCACACCTTTCCTCCCACCCGGGAGCCAGCGGGTGAACACTCCCGGCGCAGCACTGGCTGAATGAGCTTGGAGGTGGGAGACACGTCACCCGCCTGTCAGATCCCCTCCCTGCACCAGGCCTGCCCTCACCGTCTAACACGGGCCATAGGACCGGCGGTGGGTTATCTCTGCCCACGGGCCCGATAATCGGCCTGACTGAACCGCATGACACTGCCAATATCTGACCATTCCTGACCTATAAACATGGTAGTTTTGTGAAGTTCAACTTCATGTGTACAAGGCTCGTCACTGCAGCAATTTCTGTGATATTCAAAGAATGGAACCAACCCCAGTGCCCATCGACAGGGCACAAGTTGGTAAGCACGTAGCACCCATCCAACAGAAGGTCACGCAACTGTGGAAAAGAACGAGGGCACTTTCTCTACACCACGAGGGGAGCTGTGGATGCTGCCGGTGAGAAAGCCTAGGGCCAGGTGAGTGCGTGGCAGGCTAACGTTCGAGAAAAACAGGGTGAAAATACGCTGTGTTGGTAGAAGGGAACCCTGTGCACTGGGTTAAGCAGTGTCCCTCCCCATTCATGTCCACCCAGAACTTCAAAATGGGGCCTGATTTGGAAACAGGACTTGCAGATGTTAACATGTTGATTAGTTAAGTTGAGGTCATCCTGGGGTAGTGCAGGCCCTAAATCCCATGTGACTGGCGTCTTTTTTTTTAATCCTCATCCAAGGATATTTTTTCCATTGTTTTCTAGAAAGACTGAAAGGGAGGAAAGACGGGGAGAAAGAGAGAAAAAGAAACATTGATGTGAGACACATCAATTGGTCGTCTCCCACATACACCCCAACTGGGGTGGGGAACCTGCAACTGAGGTGCGTGCCCTTGACCAGGAATGGAACCCAGGACCCTTCAGTCTGCAGGGCATGACTGGTATCTTTGTCAGAGGAGAAGAGACACAGAGACGTACAGAAGGCCATGTGAAGACAGACACAAAGAGGGGAGTGACGAATCTATACGCCAAGGATGCTACAGATGCCAGCACCATGAGAAGCTGAAAGAGACAGGAAGGAGGAAGCACAGCTCTGCCAACACTTTAAAAAAAATGTTTTTATTCATTTCAGAGAGGAAGGAAGAGGGAGAGAGAGAGATAGAAACATCAATAATGAGAGAGAATCACTGATCGGCTGCCTCCTGCACGGTCCGAGCCCTCAACCCGGACATGTGCCCTTGACCAGAATCAAACCTGGGACTCTTCAGTCCGCAGGCCGACGCTCTATCCACTGAGCCAAACCAGGTAGGGCTCTGCCGACACTTTAGTTTTGGACTCCTAGTCTCCAGAACTGTGAGAGAATGAATTTCTGTTGTTTTAAGCCACCTAGTTTGTGGTCATATGTTATGGCAGCAACAGGAAACTAATACACCATGGAATTCTATACAACAAACTAAAATTTTAAAGAAAATAAAGGTTTTGATCACATAAACCTCTTACCTATTCAGAGAGTTAAATAAATAAAGGGCTTTGGAGTGCCTTCTTCTGGTCTGAGACCCCTCCCCACAGGCCACATCCAGGCCAGTGAGGAGGGCTGTACCGGCCATGCTGAGCCCAGCCTCACCCAGCCGCCTATCCATCCGCGTGCTCGACCAGGGCTTCTCAACTTCTCCGGGGAAAGACTGAGTTTTGTAGACCCTGACGGGACCTCCTCACTCAGTGCTTTCCTCACTGTGCCATGGGCCAGGGAGGCGGGGGAGCGGACTCATGGGCTTCCCACCCCACGTCCCGCAGTTCCAGACCCCACGCAGCCTCCCCTCCTGCGCCACCTCCACATGCCGCAGGCTCCGGCCGCACCAATCGCCTCCAGACCTTAGATCCGCCAGCCTGTGTGCGGCCCCTCTCCCTGAACTGCTCTTCATCACCATTTGGCCTTTCGCTCTAACTTAAATATCATTTTATTCATTGATTTCACAAGCAAATCCTAAGCACCTACTATGTGCTGGACTGTTCTAGCCTCTAAGGGTACCACTGGAGCGAGTGCTCAGGAAGCAAGCTGACCCTGAAGCCCCAGGCAGGACCCTCCCTCATTTGTTCCCACGTGTCTGTCCTGCTTCTCCCATCACCCCTGCTGCACCTGCCTGGAAATCGGACTGTCCCTTCCACTCAGTCCCCAGGCCGGGGACCCACTCTCACTCAGAAGTGGGGGCTCTACCCGGTGATCAGACCCCAGGCTGGGAAGGTGGGCTGGGGAGGCCGCTGCTGGTCCCAGCCCCTCTCACCTTCAGAGCGACGTCGGCCAGGATGTGGTGGGGCAGCTGCGAGTACAGGAGCCCCAGGCCCACGATGGCCTCCAGCTCGCCCAGGTCGGCTGCGTGCTCCAAGTGGAAGATGGCCGACTCACGGTCCCAGTCCTCGTCCTTCTCACAGAAGCGCCCGCCCTCGTGGTATCTCACCATAGCCAGATGGACCTGCCACACAGATGGGGTGCTGGTTGGGCAGTCTGGGAGGCGACGGCCACACCCCAGGGTCCCCAGCCAGCCTACAGGAGGCAGTCATGAGCGGAGGTGAGCGCCGGGTTAGTGCAGAGAGGGCTCTGAAAAGGCATCACCGATACCTTCCCCAGAACGGACTTCCCGATTCTCTTGCCAAGGTCCAGAGCATTAAGCCTGTGCACTTCCAGGGCCACAGTGGAAGGCCTGGGCAGGTGGAGGCGGGCGGGGTTAAGGAGGTTCCACTTCTCCACACAGACCTGAAGGGAGAGAGCCGGGCATGGCATGTTTCCAGGCCAGAGGGGCCGGGGCTGGGGACAGACAGGCGTCAACAGCTGTCAGCAGCTCCCATGACATGAGCCTGGCTGGCCAGGTGGGAGCAAACCCTGATGGTGTCGAGTTTTCTAGGACAAACAGGGTCCATTTCTAGTCACTCAAATTCTGTCAGCTCGTGGGCACCGAGGGCCTAGGGCGGCAACGGGACACCAAGGCCAGCAGCACAGCCCGCAGCGGCTCAAAGAAGTGCGTCGCTCACTTGTCAGTCTGGGTGGGACGGTGGGGACCTCTGGGGAGGGTCAGTCTGGGTGAGGCCGGGAGGCTGGGCCCCAAGCGGCCCATTGGCCCGCTCTCCACGCACCAGAGTCAGATCCCTCCGCTTTCCTCTGGGCATCAACCGGGTGCTCCCGGGAATGTCTCCCAGCTAAACACAGCCCGGTTTTGCCCCACCGGCATGGCTCAGTGATTGAGCTTCGACCTACGAACCAGGAGGTCATGGTGCGATTCCTGGTCAGAGCACATGCCCAGGTCACGGTTCGATTCCCGGTTGGGAGTGTGCAGGAGGCAGCCAATCCATGATTCTCTCTCATCACTGATGCTTCTCTCTCTCTCTCCCTCTCCCTTCCTCTCTGAAATCAATAAAAATATATTTAAAAAATAAATAAATAAACACAACCCAGTTTACAGGTTCCTCCAAGCAGCGCCAGGCAGATGTGTGTGCCAAACACCCGACAACGCACGGCGGCCCCGCGGCAGAGGGTGGTCCAGCTCAGAATGCTGGTGGTGTCACCGCTGAAAACCGTGCCCGTGCCTGGCTGAGCCCTGACCCGACCGGGAAAGAACCCCTGGTGAATCAATCCTCTGTGCGCCAGAGGGTGGGGAGGAAAGCCGGCGACCAGGGCAGGCTCTGGGCGGGAGGTGTGACTGAGGCCCCAGTGGGAGAGCAGCAGCCTGGAGGTGTGCCCACGGGCAGGAAGGACCTTGCAGGTGGGAGAGCCTCCTCAGTCTCTTGGGCGGGAGGCGGGGGGCGGGCTCCAGTGCCGCACAGGCAGCTATCGAAGAGCACAGGCACCAAGGGTGGTCCCGCCCTCGCCCGCCAGAGGGTCAGGAGCGCCTAAGGGAGCCAGGGAGCTGGGAGGCTAACAAGACCTGTGTCCTCATCCTGAAATGGGGGCGAGCACATCAGCCTGTCCCCCTGGGTGGCGTCAGGAGGAAGTTAATTAATGTCACGAATGGCTCTGTGGGCGGGGCTTTAGCAGTGAGCTGTGGCTGCTTGATGCCCCTCCAGGGCGGGTGATCCTGGCACCCCTCACCCTCCCCAGAGGCCCCCATCATCCCACCCAGGCAGGGGCTCAGAAGGTATTTGCCCAGGAGATGGGCTTCTGTGCACCGTTTGCCTTTAGGAGATTGTGAGGTGCCGGGCAGGCTGCGGTGACGTGAGGGGGAGAAACAGAGGCAAGCGCGCGGCACAGCAGGGGGTCCTCGGGGAGCTTACCCGTCCGCAGCTGCCCAGGCTGTCTTCGTCCGACTCGTCCCGCTGGCTACCGTTTGAGTGGCCCTGATGGATGCAGAGAATAGAGTTCCAGAGAGCAGCTTCCCCCAAGGCCGGGCTGGCCAGGAGCCTCCTCCCGAGAAACGCCTCTCAGGGACGCCCGCCCCCGGGGAAGCTGGAGCCCGCCTGGCAGGCCGAGCGGGTGCTGGCAGCAGGCGGACCATGTGCCGGAGCAGCCACAGCCTTCCTCACGGGGGATCCCAGAAAACGGGGCCCAGTCCTGGCTCCCGCCGCATGTCTTTCCTGCAGGACAAGGCTAGGCCAGAGGGCTCCCGGAGGCGCCCTGTGGCCGGACTCTGGCACGGCTGGTGGGACATCTGTGCCACTGCCGAGGCCACCCTCACGGAAGCCGTGGGAGCTGCCTCAGAAGCCCGTCCTCTAGCTCTCCCAGTGCCTGGGAGCTGGGCCAGCCTCTTACCCAGCATCCTCTCTGCTTAGCCACTTTCAATCCTGTGCCTAACCCCATCCTGGGCTCCTTACTACACTGGTCCCCATTTGCCTGTTTTATCTGGGGCCCTGCATCCATCTTTTCCTGAAATGAGCTTATTTAGTAATTTATTCATCATGTTCTCATAACCCACTTGCATTCCCCCTACCTCTCTACCCTCCCAGACAATGAGGGAACAGAAAACTGGTCTTATTTCCCAGGAGTTCCCTACCTGTTCTCGGGGCTCTGGGTCATCCAGCTCACCCCGCTTCTCACTGGGGTATCCGCTGTCCCCACTGTTCTCAGAGTCCTGTGGAGAGAAGATGGCCCGAGATCTCAGTGGGCGCCTGGGGGTGACATCTGGACATGCCAGTTGTTTGCTTCCTCTCCTTTCCCCATCATCTCACGTGACGTCCTCCTCTTGCCCGTGTTGGCTGCATGACAACTGAGCAGTAGAGCTAGACTGCTCGGCTCAGGTCTGACTTTGGGACTCGCCAGCTGTGACCTTGGACAGCTGCTTGCCCTCTCGATTTCCTTCTTATGGGGACTCATTACAGCACCCAAGTCAGGGGCTGTGAGGGTGAAACCGATGGTGGAATCACAGGAAGTGCAGTGTTAAGTGTGGCCCGTCCATTTCACAGGCAGGAAAACAAAGGCTGGGGTAAGGGTTAAAGCCACAGATGAAATGCAGCCTTGGGGCCCATATTACTACAACTACACTCTCTGCCCAAACCGCACAGGTCACCCACATATTTTTGTTGTTGTTGTTCCAGATCTGAGTCCTGTTCAGAAAGGAATCTGGTGTAATTTACAACAGCTAAGACCACCATAATGTATCTACCAGCCTGGAGTTCTGCATCACTATTCAGCTCCCACTTTCATTATTTTCCTTCTTTACTGAGAAGTATTTCAAACACACAATAGGAGTGGAGACCACGGTGAACACCCCTCCTATCCCTGGCCCTGTCACTCTCAACAGTAGGCCGTAGTTACTTTGGATCTTGCATTTTTATTTATTTACTTTTGTTAATCCTAACCTGAGGATATTTTTCTATTGATTTTAGAGCGTGGAAGGGAGCGGGAGAGACAGAAAGGGAGAAACATCGATGTAAGAGACACATCGATTGGTTGCCTCCTGCCTATGCCCTGACTGGGGCTGGGGATCAAGCCTGCAACCGAGGCACATGCCCTTGACTGGAATTGAGGGCCATGCTATAACCACTGGGAAAACTGGCTGGGGCTAGATCTTCTGTTTGTAAAAGGAATTAAAACACTACTGTCAAAATGTAGGTCTCTAGTGCATCCCTCTCCACCCCCCATCCTCTCTTCCTCCTCTAGATAAAGCCACTTACATGGACTCATACTTCTCACTTGTGGTTTTCCTTTAGAAAGCCATTTTATTTTACTTATGTAAGTATCTTTTTAAAAGAAGCTTGGCATCACTAGCTTAAATGTGAAACTTGTCTTACTCCCCGGAACAGGGAGGAGCCACGCAAGCCCACACAATGCGATCCTGGTCCCTGGTCCGGCTGGGACCCCTCCACCCAGGCGCCTACAGGCCTCCCGGCCAGCCTCCCCCAGAGCCTGTACCTGTGTGAGTCGAACGGCTGTTCTGTTGGGTGTGTTTCCCCCAATTTTTAAAATTGAGGCGTTATTTACAGACCCCCAAGCTGCAGTGTTCAGGGGGTGGAGTGAAGGCTCCTTTTGAACATGGACTGCAGGCTGTACTCAGAAGCTCCGGGCAGCCTGCTCCTTGCACCCCTGTCCCTCCTTCTAGACCAGGGGTGGGCAAGCTTTTTGACTCGAGGGCCACAATGGGTTCTTAAACTGGACCGGAGGGCCGGAACAAAAGCATGGATGGAGTGTTTGTGTGAACTAATATAAATTCAAAGTAAACATCATTACATAAAAGGGTACGGTCTTTTTTTTTTTTTTTTTAGTTTTATTCATTTCAAACGGGCCGGATCCGGCCCTTGGGCCGTAGTTTGCCCACGGCTGTTCTAGAATCATGACCAAGCTGAACATCAGCGAGCCCCCGCCAACCCCAGCTCCAGGCCCTGGGTGAGGCAGCCAACCTCTCCAGCCCGAGGTCTCTTTGCCTGAGGAAAGGGGGGGCCAACCCATCCGAGATGGAGAGTGCAGGCCAAGGGCAGTGGTCAGGGTGAGCCTGAGCACTGGCTCTGTCGCCCAGTGACCAGGGAAAGTGGCCAACCTCTCTGGCCTCAGTGTCCTCAGGTCTGAGTCAGGGATGCTCGGAGGCCTGCCCAGCAGTGGGCATGGGAGGCAGCAGGCGGCTGAGGGCGGAGGGAGCGAGGCATGTCGCGTGCCAATGTCTGTTAAAGGGACGAACTGAAGCATCTACCAAGTCCCCACACGGCGTCTGCCCTCGGTGATGATCCGTGTGTCAGCTAATCTTTTTTCCTTGCCCTCAACCATTCTGAAACGCAGCCAAGAGTGAACGTGAACCTTTGGAGCCATCTGAGGGTGCAGTGGTGGTCTGGGCGAGTGTGACAAACCTACAAAGTCTGAATTTTAAATGTGACGCCGGGATATGTTTGCCTGAATGCAAATATGATGCTTTCCGTTTCTTACCACTGAGCCCCCCAGAGCTGCAAGAACCTGTTCCATTTATCCAACCGAGAGTGGCCCCCTCCCCAGCGCAGCTGTCCACACAGGGGCCAAGCCCGCTGAGGGCTGAGCCGCAGCTGTCTCTGCTGCTGACCTGGGTCCCTCTTCTCTAGCCAGCTCCTTGCCTCTCTAACCGGCTCCTGGCTTCTCTAACCGGCTCTCTCCGAAAACACTGCGCCTGTGGGCGGGAGGCTGAGATTACCTGTGTCCCTACCCCCTCCGTCGGCCCCTGGCCCGTGCAGAGCAGACCGGGGCTGCCCACCTCGGACCCTGAGCATCACCCTCAGTTCCCCCTGGACTGTCCTCTCCGCCCAGCCTGCTCCTCCTTCCCGCTCCTCACCCGGTGGTTGTCGGGATGGTCGTGATCTTGGGGAGCCATGTTGTCCAGGTCGCTGAACACTGGCCAATCTGGGCAGGAGAAAACACAGACAGATGATGTGCTGGGGCCACTGCTGGGAAGTCCCCAAGACCAAACTACAGCCTAGAGCTGGCTGCACCTGGTGAAGCCTTTTTTATATTTTAAAGATGCAAAAAGAGGGAGAAAACTGCTGTCAGCACCCGGGGCTACAGTTCTCTTTCCTCCTTGAGAACTTTCTCCAACTCTCGCCAGCTGTGGGCCCTGAGCAGGTGGCTTAATCGGGGTTGTCATAAAGCGACATGTCTGTAGCACGTGTGCAGGGCCCGAGGCGGCCCCACGGGGTGCAGTTGTGAAGGAAGAAAGGCCATTTGTACTTTGGGGACCAAAGAAGCGCGCCATGCCGGACACCTGAGGGCAGAGCAGCCGTGTGGGAGCGTGGCTCTGCTCCGTGACGGGGTGGACATGGCCATGCTACAGTGGTGGTCACGTCCCAGGCCTCCGTTGCCACAAGCCTGACGAGGCCCGCATGCAGGCTTGGCCTGCTTTTCCGGAGCGCGCAGTGAGGACCCAGACGGCTTCACATCCAGCCACTTCCCGGAGGCCCAGTCTGGCTCCTGCCTGGAGCTCCCCTGAGCCAAACCTGGCTTGCCTCCTGATTTTCTCTTTTTTAAATATATATTACTGACTTCAGACAGGAAGGGGAGGGAGAGAGAGATAGAAACATCAATGATGAGAGAATCATTGGTCAGTTGCCTCCTGCACGCCCCACACTGGGGATTGAGCCCACCACCCAGGCATGTGCCCTGACCAGGAATCGAACCATGACCTCCTGGTTCATAGGTCAAAGATCAACCACTGAGCGACACCAGCCAGGTATCTCCTGTTTTTATGTGGTTTCTTTAAGAATGGTTTTTTCCCTTGTTAAATGATTGAAAATAATGAAAAGAGTAATATCTCCTGATATGTGAAAATTACATGAAATTGAAACTTTGATGCCCACAGCAGGAGCGCTGGCACACGAGCCGCGCCTGTTTGCTTAGCCGCACCTACACTGCGCTCAGACGGCGAGGGCACACTGTGCCCACAGAGCCTACAACACTTCCTCGGGCTCGGACGCTGCTCAGTGGCTGAGCGTCAGCCTATGAACCAGGAGGTCAAAGTTCGGCTTCGTCAGGGCACATGCCCGGGTTCCGGGCTCAATCCCCAGTGTCGGGCAGGAGCGGGCAGCTGATCAATGATTCTCTCTCATCATTGACATTTCTATCTCTCCCTCTCCTTTCCTCTTTCTCTAAAATCAATAAAAACATTAAAACAAACAACCTTGTTTGCTGATACCTGCTCTGTGGAGAGGCCTAACGACTTCTTTAACTCGGACACCGAAACCCTCTCCCGCTCCGCTGCGCCGCCCCGGCCGAGCAATGGCCACACCATCCTCCGCATCCCCAGAGTCGCCAGCTGTCACCTCAGCTTCAGAAATGATGGTTTTTCTCCTTTGACCTAGTCATGTGACCCTAACCCACTCCCTAATGCTGAGCACCCTGATTCCTGTGAAAACCCCGTCTGTGACAGACGATGCCCTTAAGTTACTAACAGTCTTTATTTGTTAATACCTTACTTAGAATTTCTGCATTACACATTTATGAGTGAGGCCTGAATATAGTTTTCTTTTTTGGTGTTTTGTCAAGCTTTGCTAGTTTCCTAAAACACACTGAAATGTGTGTTCTACAACACGGGTTATTTTATAGCATCCAGATGACCTGTGTCTTGAACTCGCCTGTAAAACCCTCTGGGCCATGAATCTTTTTAGTTAGTGTGTTTAAGTCTAACGTTCAGGGAAAGCCAGTTTAGCTCTGTAGGCCTGGCACCTGTCCCTCCAATCACAAGGATCCGGGGCCAACCATCACTCACGGAGGTGGTCCAGCTTCTGGCTGTGTGGCGTGGCTGAAGATGGGGAGGAGGACAGAGAGTCGAAGGTCACGTCACTCATGTTCTCGTCTCCAGAGTTCTCTGACAGGCGGAGGAGCAGGGGCGGCCGGCTCCCAGAGAGGGTCCTCACTAGGGGGCTCCCACACTTTTCCTCTGTCCCCCTCAAGATGGTCTTGGCTGATTGCTGGAGAAGTAACAGGGACGTTCAGTCACAGAGGCATCCGCTGGGAAAGAGGAACTCCTCTTATCTGTTGTTGCCCTGGGCTCCTATCCATGCCCGTTTAGGGTCTGGTGGAAAATCTAAAAATAGTCAGTGAGGATTAACCCAAAGGGACATCTGGGAGCCGGCCAGCCAACATTCCCCAAAGCGCGGACCACACTGCCAGCCCTGAGCTGGGGAATTCACATCACTACACGTCCAGAATCCCAAGCTGGTCTTTGCCAACGTTCTTGTACCTGGGCCATGCGGGGTAGGGAGTGGGCACATCCTCAACACAGCCAGGCGCAAGCCTAGCCCAGCTATTTGTCGACAAACACAACCTCACGCACACGCACACGCACACGCACACACACGCACACGCACACGCCACACATCTCTCCCCCAAGCTCTGCTCACCTGGTCTCCTCACTCTGGTAAAAATGGGCCCAAATCAAGCAGACCCCAGCTGCTCTACTAGTGGACACTCAGCTTAGTGCACTGACTTGGGAGGGAGGAGGGGCACAGAAGGGACTGAGATCCCTCCGGTCCTGATGGTCTTCAGTTAAGCACTGCAGGCCTGGGTCGCTGTCACAGTGAAGCGCAGTGTGTGGCCCGGCAGTACCCCCTCCCCCCGCGCCCTC